GTTAAATGTTCTGAAAAAGCAAATTACCCTAAATGAAAATAGAGATTTTGGATGTGAACATTATTCATAGATTTATTTGTTTGTTTGTTTGTTTGTTTGTTTGTTTATCTATTTATTTATCTATCTATTTATTTTTTTTAGTCATAATTATTTTCTGTAATTTAACAAAACTAAAAAGGGAACGTTTGTGAAATAACAGTTTGAAAATTGTGTATCATTTTTCAGTCCTTAATATACATAATCTTGCTTGAAAAGTATTACAATAATAATAGCAATAATAATAATAATAATAATATCTGTAGCATAACAATGTTTTCACTGGTTTAAACACACTAAAGACAGTTTACTGTTGTCGGTATAAAAACACACACGACCAGTCATAAACATACAGATTTATAATGTTTTTAGAGGTTTATGTTTAACATGTAAATTATTATATTTTCTCATTTTTATATCCGGTATTATGTGTAATTCAACAAAACAGGAGAAAATGGCAAAATGATGGTGAATTATTTTTAAAATAATTTTGTAAAAATCTACACGTCTTCACTGTTGAGCCTCTGTTCTGTTCAGTTCTGTTGTGTTCTGTTCAGTTCTGTTGTGTTCTGTTCAGTTCTGTTCCATACGTTGAGGTATTTATATCCGTCCAACACGGTCACGTCGTAGGAATGAACCTCAGGACCTTTGTGCTCATTGACTCGTTGGCTGTAAATCTTCAGCCGTGTTTTAACTCCTGACCTAAATCCAGAACCGAAGCCTCTTAAAGAACCCAAGAAACTGTCCTCCGTTATCTCATTAGAGACGGACCAGAACAAACTGGATCACTGAGGCTCAGTCCAGCCGACTGTGTAAGACTGAAATGTGATCAGAGGCAGAGTTTCCTCAGNTAGAGACAGACAACCAAGCACACTCACATTCACACCTACGGACAATTTAGAATCACCAATTAACCTCAACATGTTTCTGGACTGTGGGAGGAAGAACCCGGAGAACCCGGAGAGAACCCACGCTGCACGGGGAGAACATGGAGACTCCTGGTGCCCCCACCAGGACGTGAACCGGGGACCTTCTAACTGTGAGGCGATGATGCTAACCACTGAGACACCACGCAGCTCTATTATTTTTATTTATCAGAAATGGTGGAAACTGAGAATGTGTCGGGACGAGTCGCTCAGAGGAAAGAAAAGTGGAACTTATTCATTTATTTTATGAAAAGTGAACAAACATGACTCAGCATGTCCAGCGTTCTCCTGGGAGTCCTCAG